ATCTCCATCGTTTCATACCTCAAATGAATGGAAAACGAGACTTTTTACTGCAATTAAATGTGTTCCCAAATTTGGTTTGGAGCTCCACATAAATGCTGATGACATGACAGCAGCAAAAACCATTCTCTTCGCGGATGCTCACAGGAATGTAGATGTAAATGAGTTTAGCAAAAAATTCAGGCACAGGAGCGTATTTGTGATGAAAATAGAGTAATAAGACACATTTCTCGACTGCAACATGTTTCAATTCCACTTGATACAAAGTCAATCTTTCTATCAAGTAGAGGTGAATTGACTAGACTTGTAGTGATCGATATTCACCACTATGATTGCCATTGGTGAAAATCAAACCTTATCGCTGGCGCGACATAAATACTGGATACCGCGTGCACCTGGATCACTCAAGTACTACCTGAAAAATTGCGCGACTGTAAGCGCTGGCCTGAATTATCAATCGGTTTTCCATAAATGCTCCCATTACCAAACGATAGGGAAGTGATAACGAAAATAGTTGTTTGTGATATCGGTCCTTTCTGCTCCAAGAGCGAAAAAAGTATGTATATTTGCTTGTACATATGCTTGGTCACAAGAGCGGTGCATTTGGAAATAGTTGAACACATGTCCGCTGGAGCCTTCCTGAACTGCTACATTCGCTTTCTATCCAGATGAGGTGTTCCACACATGGTGCGCTCTAAGGAACCAATTTTCGGTTAGTTTTGAAAATCATCGAAGATTTTTCTAAGCCTAGTGGTGAGGCTGAATCGGTTATGAGCTACAGCGCCAACAACGGGATTATTCGAGGAGTTATTCAACCTGCCAACGAGTCCTTAGACGGGAGGAGTTGGGAACGGCTGGTTGGTTCCGTAAAACGTTTTTTGCGTAAATTGGTTGGTAGAGAGAAACTAAACTTCGCTAGTTTCCTGCTTACTGCAATAGAAGCAGTTAAACACACGTCCGCCTACAAAGCTGGATTCCACAGAATTGTCGGAAACTCCACTTCGGCCAAATGATTTTCTACAAGGAAACGTGAAATATTCGCTTTAAGAATCACCCGAAATAATTAATGCTGAACATCGTATGAACAATTTTTATTCAAACCACAAAAGGAGGCTATTTCTGTTTCAGAAAAAGTTTCCATAGTTTAGAAAAAGAAAAAATCTTGGGAAAGATGGCGCACGGAGTACCTCACTATACTGCGTGAGTCCCAGAAACAGTACTTGAAACAATTAGGCATATATCATACACACAGAAAGGTGAATTGCCTTGATTGAGAGATTTCCTAGAAATTGGTCTTATGGAAAAGTCACGGAAGTGATAGCTAGTCATGGTGGGCTCAGAGAATGTAATCTGACGCTTTATGATGGATATTACATCGACGCTGAATAAGCTATACCCTTAGGAAATTGGTCCTTCATCAGAAGAAAACTTGGAGGATATGAACAGCCATGAGCTTACAGCAGAACCTGCTGCTAAGCCGAATTTATTTCATTCATCAAAGAAGAACTTACGATCATTAAGGCATTTTGGAACAACTTAGAGGACATTTCCTTACAGGCTGTTGGCGAAAGTTTAACAAAAGTATTGCAGCGAGCAAAGACACGGAAACGGGATTAACGAATTATGCTTCTAACGATGATGGTTGCTGCTCTAATAACTCCAGTAAAGGCGTTCCATCCCACATGTGGGACGTACGTGAAAGAAATAGATCGTACAAATTTTGCTTCAACACTAAGTGAAAACATTTGTGGGAGTTGGTGGAATGCGAATTTACAAATTGCCCGCCTCGCTCACTTACTTGGAAACATGAGTAATAATGAGACACATAGAAGACGGCATACCTACTGATTACACCACTTTGCTCGAATCCTATTTTGTGCTGTATCAAGTTCCCTGCTTAGTACATCATTATTAGGGAACCCACACTGTTGGCCGGTTGGTGCCATACTCACCGTAACCGTAATATTCTATCTCAGTAGGTGATAGTTGTGCGGATGATAAAATCCGCTATCAAACTAACCCGCAGAGTCCTGCGCAAATAGTGCAACATCCCTATGCTATCCATGATTAACAAGGAAACGTCCAGCTGCATTCCTTGAACAACTCCGTTGAGCGGTGGATGCTTAACTCCATGCGTTGTTATCATAGTAGGGAATTGCACGGTGGATGCATGCCATCATGGATTTGCCCGATATACTACCAACGTTGTGTGTGCAGAACAAAAAATGCTACTATGAATGAAGCGGAGAACTTCTGTTCAATAGTTAAAGTGAACACTGGAAATCTGCCATCGAGACTGAACAGTACTCAAAATGAAATTGAGCCATCAAACTGATCTGCACCAAAGAATAAAAATTTTTTGGAAAAGGCACTGAGCATCAAGTATACTTAACAATTAGATATTTCGAAGCATTCTCCTGCTACGACAATGCGTGCGACAAAATCCGAGCAAATGAAAGGGTTCCCGATTGTCTGTCAAGGGCAGCAAAGCACCCAGGGTACTCTGGGGCCAGATTCATCATTGATTTTGCTTAGGGTAAATGCGGCCACGCCCTTACCTTGGTGATGTACGAGATTCATCATTTTTGTTACCACTACCTTAACC